GAATGAGATCTTGCCATTTGCAATGACGTGGATGGAACTGGAGGGTGTTATGCTGAGCAAAATAAGTCAATCAGAGAAAGACATGTATCATATGACCTCATGGATATGAAGAATTCTTAATCTCAGGAAACAAACTGAGTGTTGCTGGAGTATTGGGGGGTGGGAGGGATGGGGTACCTGGGTGATAGACATTGGGGAGGGTATGTGCTACGGTGAGCGCTGTGAATTGTGCAAGACTGTTGAACCACAGATCTATACTTCTGAAACAAATAATGTAACATATGTTAAGAAAAAAAAAGAAGATAGCAGGAGGGGAAGAATGAAGGGGAGTAAGTCAGAGGGGGAGACGAACCATGAGAGACAATGGACTCTGAAAAACAAACTGAGGGTTCTAGAGGGGAGGGGGGTGGGGGGATGGGTTAGCCTGGTGATGGGTATTAAAGAGGGCACGTTCTGCATGGAGCACTGGGTGTTATGCACAAACAATGAATCACGGAACACTACATCAAAAACTAATGATGTGATGTATGGTGATTAACATAACAATAAAAAAGAAAAAAAATCCAAGCTTATGTGGTGCCTGGGTGGCTCAGTCTGATAAACATCTGACTCTTGATTTTGGCTCAGGTCATGATCTCAGGGTCGTGAGATTGAGCCCCACATCAGGCTCTGCACTCAGTGGGTAGTCTGCTTGAGATTCTCTCTCCGTCTCCTTTGCCCCTCCCCTGCCCGTGCTCTCTCTAAATAAGTTAAACAAATAAACAAAAATAAAATCTTTTAAAAATAAATAATCAGATAATCCAAGGTTATAAAATAGCTTGGTTTTCTCATGCCACTCCAAGTAACTCTGAAGACAATTCCAAGAGCATTTTTTTTAAAAAAAGACAAAACTGTATAAATGAATATATTGATTTCTAAAGTTCAGAGGATAATCATTATTGGAACATAAAATCTCCATTCCATTTACTATCTGCGAAGCACAATAAAGTGAAGTGCCATAAAATGAGGTAAGTCTATATGTAAACATATACCATGTCACCAGCTGCAGTGGTAGGCAGTGAACATCTTGAACACTCTATTACTCCCCTTGTGTTTTGACTCCTTCTACTTGCCCTTGACTCTTAACCCATTGCGCTTCTACTCACTCTACCTGCACTGCTCTTTCTGCTGATATTTCCTAGTCTGTGCAACTAAAGGACATGCCAGAGGAAACGCCAGGTGGGGAAACATGGGACTGAAGCCGCTGTGACACATTTGGCCACACAATACACACATCATCCAACTTTCTCAACGAGAATCAAATCTCTATGCACAGCATACTCTCTCTGGGGTTTGTAGGTTTTCATTTTAATTAAAAAAACCTTTCCTTTCTCCTGACAACAACTCTAGAAAGAGGAAGATAAAACCATAGTAATATTGACACATTTTACAGCTCGTGTCCAAAAGCTACTCTGGAATAATTAGAAGTCAAGTTGATCAAAACTACATAGCAGTCAAACTCAGGTGGGTAATGAGGAAAGGAGAGCAGAAGTGGGTACATTTATAAAGTATTCTGCCCAAAACAAATTTTTTCTTTATGATAATATGTGTAAATTATCCCAAATACGTTATTCCCTCATGCCTCTGTAGTTTTTATGGTGATTTTGGTAATCTCCACTTATTGCATTCATTAGGCAGATCTTTGGGATCTTAAATTAAATAAAATTAAATAGTGAACTGCTTCCAAATATATGGAACAACTATTAATTTGGAGACAGGGATGGTTCTGTTCACTGATCTTTTAGCTTGCCCTACTTTTCACCATCAGGCTTTCACAAACAGCTGGTGGTGCTGACTACAATGGGAATTAATCTTCCATAATATATCCAATTTTTTCTGGGCTGTGACCGTGAGTTCCCAGGAAAACATTCTGAGATTTGTAATTTTCTTTCTCAATGACTCAGTTACCCGAATTCCTGGTGCCAAGACCTCCCATCACTTCATTCCTGAAAAAGCAATTAAATGGGTTTCACAAGCAGTACACAAACATCAGTCCCCTTTCTGTAGTTACCCTGGCATTTGTCCCTGCTGAGTGGAGGGGTGTTAGAAGATTAGTGTCTTGGGCACTTTGAGAAACAGCATCAAATGTCTGGTTCACTCTGGACAAAACATCTGGTCCTGGTAAAATGAGGCTTAAAGTAAATAATCACTCCTGTTACACTGTGATTCTAGTCTGCCCCGTGTTTCTTGGGTGGCCCGCCCCCCTGCCTCCCCGCCCAGCTAATCCTTGTTTCAATGAAGCCTAATCACCCAAGAGTCTTGGATCTTAAAAATGGACATTAAAGTCACAGATTTCATACAAGCAAGCAAACGAAAAACATCCTGTCTGTGTGGGGTAAAATATTGAATCACAAGCCCTGATGTCAGCCAGCAGTAGCGCGGCCCCCCTGCCATGGGCATCCCATTCAGTCTTGGTCAACACGCTCCCATCTGAATCTTTGTATTGCTTCCTTAGCAACCATACCCCCGGAAGTAGGTGTGTGCTTATGTGTGTAAAGCAAAGTGGAAAAAGTGATGCAGCACGTACTGACTATTGTGGTGGCTCCTGTCGTAACACCCCGCACCCTACGGGCTCCACTGTACGGCAGACACGTGGTCTGCGTGGGACTGACCCTGCCCCGCCTCCCCGCCCCCACCCCGGCCGCCCCGCCCCGTGCCGGATTTGTGGACGTATTCCCCAGAAACCGAACCAATCAGGACCCGGCATCCTCTGGGGTGTAGTGATTGACTGAGGTGGGCACATGACCTAAGCTGAGCCCATGGGAGGCTCCCTGGTCACGTGTGAGGGCAAGCTGCCCTTGGGGGAAAAGCAGTCTGCAAATAGGACGCTGACATTGTCGTTGCTGCCGGGAAGGGAGCTCGCTAGAGTACGAGAATTGTTTTAAACGTATTCTCAGCACTCCCCTTTTTACTGAATCCGAGGGCTGGCATGATTTCTAGAGTCTGCTCTTGTTTCCATCCCTCTCCACTTTATAGGTGAAGGAACCACGCCAGACACGATGGAGCGACTTGTCCCCAATCACAGAGAGCACCACTGTTTTGGCTCAGCTTTTATTAAGATTTTATTTGTCCCCCACACCCCCCAAAAGATTTTTTACTCACTTAATTTAAATGTGGAAATGGTTTCTTAGCACTCACACATTTGGACCAGTTAAGAGTTGTAAATAATACAGCAAGAATTGGGGGGAGGGTAAGCAATTCCTCTGACCCATATAACCAACGTGGAGTGTACTGTGTGTGTAAAGTGTGCCTTGGGGTGAAGGGCAGAGTGCAGAAATGATGTTAGGAGTAATATGATTTTGTATCTAAAATGATGGAGAACTGCTTTGGGTGACAGAATTATCTGGAAAACTCTTCAGCTGTTTATTTCATTATTCCTGTTCATATTTCCTCTCTGTTACTTATACAAAACCCAGTGGGTTCTCAAAGACTAGACAGGGCAAAGATTACTTGTTCCCAAATCCATTTTCTCTACTTTCTTGGCACACAGCAAGATAGGGGTGATCATATTACAGATTTGGGGCCAGTAGGTTGTAAGTAGAGAGGACATGGTCCACTTCCCAGCCTGTCCTTCAAAACCTCCCGTGTACAACTGCATATGCTCTTTCCCCAAGCAGAGACTTCACGCCACATGTTAAAGATGGTAGAATCACAGGGAGGAAAGAGTCTCAGCCCCAATATTACTGATGGAGCAAAGCCACCTGCAGATCAGAAACAGTCACCATACTTTACAAGTGGGGAAACTTTTATTGTGTTAAACCCCTGAGATTTCAGGGTTTATCAAATTACCAGGATAATACACCCAGCATCACATTAACCAATAGTGTAGGCATTGTCTACACCAACGCTTCTTCTTAAAGAGACGTACACGGAGCCTCCATCACCTCAGAATACACAAAGAGGATGAGATTTCAAACAAGGACACCAAGGAGTTCAGTGGGTAGAGAAGTGTTGATTAGCTTCAGGGCAGTTTTCTGCTACCTTAGAGATCGGCAGAATTCTAAATGATGACAAAGCCTACACCCATAATCACTGGTTTACTGAAAAAAAATTTGAAGGATGCTGATAGCATTTATTGCCCAGGATGCTCAAAAGACATAATCAAATTCAAAACTGCTGCCTTCTCCCTACTTTACTCTTAACAAAACCAATTGTGAAAGTAAACGTTGCCAGGTCTCTGTCCAGAGAATCCGGTTTTTGCAATTACCCAGGATAATAAAATTGTCCCGGCTGAATCCAAGACTTTGTCTGTAAGGGCTCTCCACTTCTGCAGCCAAACAAGAGTGACAGCAGGCACTAGACTGGAAAGTGCACAAGAGTTCTGCATGGGGACAAGGGGCAGACAGAGCATCAAGCTTCAAGGTCATGCCAGGGACGTGACCTTGGCCAAGTCATCAACTTCTCTTGGCTTCTGTTACATCTTCTATTAAATGGGGTCACTGAAGCCTAACTGCTTAACTTGCTTGGGGGAGGAGGGCTGGGGAGATAAAGACTGAAATTCTTTCAAATAAAAGGAAGAAAAGAAGAGAATGGAGAGGGAGGGAGGCAGGAAGAACAGACTGTATTATTTCCAGAAAGACAGGTGTATGGAAATTAGCGAGGTGTCAGGGCGCCTGGGTGGCTCAGTCAGTTAAGCGTCTGCCTTCACCTGAAGGGTCCTGGGATCAAGCCCCACATCAGGCTTCCTGTTCAGCAGGAAGTCTGCTTCTCCCTCTCCCATCCCCCCTGCTTATGTTCCTTCTCTTGTTGTCTCTCTCTGTGTCAAATAAATAAATAAAATCTTAAAAAAAAAAAAAGAAATTAGCAAAGTGTCTCCAGTATTGGAAGTTCTATAGAAAGATAAAAGTCATATAAGGGAACCGTGTGTGAGTATAGGGAATAAGGTTAAGGACAGAAACATTGTTGGAGGCAGGTGCCAGAGTAAGAAGGGCCCCTGGGCTATTTGAAGGCAGTGCACTCACCATAGTGTGGAATGATGCTCCAGGCCATGGCAGATGCATAGATGCCCCCCGTCATCCAGAAGATGCCCAGCCAACTAAGGTGTTCTCCTCGCTTCTCCCGAGATAAGAATTCCGAAAAATAGGCAAAAACAATGGGCAGAGCACCCCCTATCCTGCATAAAGAAAATGCCAAAAAGAAACAATCAAGTCATACACTAAAAATGGTCATAGCAGAAGTCTAGTTACCTTATACCCCACCCTTGTGAATTTGAAAGACTGGTCAACGTAGTGTCAGGTTATTTGACCTTATACACTGACTTTACAACCTTTTCTAAGGTTCAACTTTAATATAATATCTTTGAAGTCAAACACAAAACATAGTCTGTTTTCTGGAGGCACAACTCAGAGCTCGAGTAGCAGGATGGATGGAACACTGGTCTACAAGGGTCCAGCAAAGCCCTGCATTTATGTACCCTATGCCTGAGAGGAGTCGGCAGAAGAGGAAGGCTCCATATCCCTGGACGAAGGAGGAGAGAGAGGCGAAGGAGGCGTTGAGGGCCAGAGACATGCTGAGGACTTTCTTTCTCCCCAGCTTATCAGCCAGGCCCCCTAGGACGAAGGCCCCAGCCATCATTCCTAGGTAGACTATCAGCCCTGCAAGGGTTGGGGGAGAAAAGAGAAGAGAGGGTGGAAAAAAGAGACAAGACATTAGAAACCATGCAATGTGCTAGAAAATCTGATGCCTGTTTTTATGCACTCTAGAAATTCCGTGTCACAGACATAAAAGGTGGACTCTAACAGATGTTCCTGGCAAATTAGAAGTGCTGTACAAATTCAAACTCTTAAGAATGCTATTCAAAAAAATAGCCTCACAGATTGATACATATGTGCACATACTAAAATAAATCAACCATAGCTCACTCTGGTGTACCTTTCTTGAAGATGGCTCTTTTAGTGACATAATCTGCAGAAGGTAGCACTGTCATTTTATTTTTAAGCAAAAAGAGTGTTTGTGTTATAAAATTTCTTACCTGCAGGGATAGGTTTAAAGAGAATTTCCAGGAAAAAAGGCCAAAATGGTATAAGGATCATGGGAAGGAAGGAAAAGGTACAAGTGTAAAACAGCAATTACCAATAAGCCTGGCTATTTTATTACTCCCAAAAAGATCTTCTCCATGCTACACCTGATGTTCAGCTTCCTTAGGGGAATGCAGAAGAGACCAGCAATGAGCCATCCTTTCTTTAACACATGTAACTTGTACTTGCCTTCTAATAATAAGATCAGTTAATTGAAGATATCATATAAATATATTGTTGTTGACATGTTTATGGTGTTCCACTGAAAGTCAGCATCCTCACAGACATGGGCCATCTCCAGAAGCACATGGATAACTCCTTCCTGCTAAATATTGAGCTCTTACTAATTATTAACGACGGTCCTGAGTCCATACGTGATTTATGATACCTGTGAAGGAAACTTTGCAGATCATCACTTTGCAGACCATCCTTCACGAGGACAAAATAACTGAATGCAAATTATGGAAGGATCCTTTCACCCAGCCTTAACTGTAAGTGAAACGATAAACACAAATTGTCTTTCACAGAAAGGAAGCCTCTGGACCTACAGATGCTTTATTTATGCAGATGTGCACCAGGAAGGGCCGACATAAAGCAAAAAGCTTCAGTTAGCTGGTTAATCAACTTGAAGATTGGTCCCCAAAAGGAAAGATTTGACCACGGTCTGTTTTATCTTCCCCATGACAGAGTTCCTTCTTTTGTCATCTTATTCTACAAGATGAAAAGAAATGATAACTTTGGTGTTGTCAACGGTTTTCACAAAGATTTTCTTCACTCACCTGGGTTGTAACTCTTAGCCTTTAAGTATGAAAGATGCTATTTTCTTTTACATTTTGGTATATGCTGTTACTTCATGGAATATGTCTATGAGTCTACAAAGTATCTATTAAATGTCTGTTACTAGGTAAATACTCTTGTAGTTACTGGAGATACAGCACGGTCCAAACACATGAAAATCCCTGCCTTCACAGAGCTTACATTCTAGTTGGGGAAAAGAGATAATAAATAAATGCGTAAAATATACAGTTAAGTGGGTGACTGATAAGAGTTCTAGAGAAATATAAGAAGGAGGGAAATAGGGAGAGCCAGGGTGGGAGGTGGCAATTTTAAAGAAGATGGTTCAGGAAGCCCTTACTGAGATGGGACATTCGGGCAAAGACCTGAAGAATGTTCCAACCATGGGAATGTCTAGGGGAAATTGCTGAGCCCATGCTCCTGGTTCTGCCATTTCTCTGCATCCTCAGAGGACCCACAGAGAAGTAATAGAGTGAGGATACCCGCTCCTCCCTATTTCACCAGTTTCCCAGTCCAAAGCTCAGAAAATCTAGTTTGCGATTTCCCACTAATATTAGGTCACCAACACTTGTGTTTCAGAAAATGAGTCAAGACTTGCAAACACAATTCAGAGTATGTGTCATGCTGTGTCGTAATAATGTGTGGGTCAGTGTGCTCTGCTAGACTAATAGTTTATCTGCTATCCCACCCTGACCAACCAAGGGTCTCCAACATCTAGTTCCCTGCAGACTTAATCATGCTCAGTTCTTAGCCATTGTGAGTCGTTTCTAGCGGGACTGCCTTACTCACTGATGGGGGCTTAAAACCATCTTCTGCTGCCATGACCCAACCCCACCACATAAGCCTGAGTGAGGGTCAGGCTGCAGCTTCCCTGTTACTTTTACTTGTGGTTCCAGTCCACATGACTGCCTTTGTGCCTGGTCCTGAGTTCCTGATCCCCATGCTAGTTTCCGATTAGCATCTGATACCCCAACCAATTGGAAAAGACCCAAACTCTGTCCATGCCTAACCAGGTCCTTCCCAGGAAAGAATTGGATTCTACTTCCTCTGACTTAGGTAACCCACTTAACATGATGGCCATAATCAGGAATCCCATATCTGAGACACTCTGTCCTTCTTCCCCACCAGCCCAACACGTGTCTGTCACCACCAGCCCAACACAACGTAGGCCCTTGTACTTGGTAATTTAGACTTTTGGACCAGAGCAGAGAGGGAACATCTTTCTCCACATTAGGCCTGTTCAGTTTCCAAACTTTGTTGGCCTCAGCTCAACTCCTTGTCAAAAATTTCCAATACTCCATTCAGCTGACAAATACCTTGTGGTTCTTTCATGATACGTGGTCAATCACGTTTGGAATAAAGACACAGATACTGAAAGGAAGAAAGGAAGGGAGGAAGGGAGGGAGAGAGTCCTGCCCAAATTGCAAAGTAAATGCTATGGGTGCTTTAAGCCAGTAAGTAATACAACAATAGATCATGAGAGCCTAATATATCACATCATAGCACCAAGGTAGCAAATGCAAAGTGAGCACTCACCACTAACCTGGCTCCATGTGAAGCATTTCACAGAGCATTTTTGGTCCCATTTAATGCTCGCAGCAACCCAGTAGATACCACTAGTGTCCTTGTTTTGTAAAGGAGGAAACTGATTCACAGAAAGGCAAAGTAGTTCCCCAAGATCCCATAACTAGTGGAAGTACCAAGATTTTGATCTGGGAATTCCAACCTCAGAGTTGATGCTTTAACTACTATGCTTTACTGTTCTTTATAGATAAGCATCGACAGATCTGTTAGCTCTGTATTAGTTTATTCTTCCCTTGTTTGCTCATCTCCAGAACTGCTTGCTAAGTGGGGGCATGGTTCCTTCCTTTCAAGGAGATAAGCAATACATTATATGATTATCTCCTGGTGAGAAAGAATGTTCCAATAAAGGCATATGCTGGGTATTATACAAACATAGAGAAGGAGCAAGCATGGATGCACCTCACTCAATGTGGGAAGGCTTCCAAAAGGAAGTCATTGAGCTGTGGGTGAACGACAAAGAGAAGCTAGTCAGGTTTCCATCTTGGTGGTGGGGGGAGTGCATCACAGGCAGTGGTAGGCAGCAGGTGCAAAAGATAGGGAGGCAAAAAGAACACCTGATATGTTTGGGCAATGGTGCCCAAGTGGTTCAGTGTGAGTAGGGCTGAGTGCACGTGGGGGAACCTGGTGAGGGACTGGGGAGAGGGGGTAGGGCAGAGACCATGTCATAAATGGCTAATGGGTGTGTGGGTGTATGGGTGTGTGTGTGCGTGTCTGTGTATGAGGGAGAGAATACATATGCATTTTCGGATGCATGCTCATGTAGTTATGTGTGTGCACGTGGCTGTTTGCATCATGTGTGTGGGCCTATAAATTAGAAGGAAGGGAGACGAGAAATCAGAGAAGTGGCCAGGCGATTTGCTGAGAACCAGTCTGCATACTCCTTACCCTGGTTCCATCCCGGAGAAAAACACTAGCAGCCAATTAAAGTTTATTTTCCTTTTCTGAAAAAAGCTATCTTCAGCACTTCTCAAATGTTACTGTGCACACACAAATCATGGGAAGATCTCATTAAAATCAGATTTTGATTCAGTAAGTCTGGTGTGGGGCCTAAGAGTCTATATTTATTTTTAATTGAGAGAGAGAGAGAGCGTGTGCCAGCCAGGGTAGGGGGCAGTGCAGAGGGAGAGGGAGAAAGAGAATCTTAAGCAGGTTCCATGCCCAGCATGGAGCCTGACGTGCGGCTGGATCTCACGACCCTGAGATCATGACCTGAGCCAAAATCAAGAGTCAGATGTTCGGAGCGCCTGGGTGGCTCAGTCAGTTAAGCATCTGCCTTCGGCTCAGGTCATGGTCCCAGAGTCCTGAGATCGAGCCCCGCATCGGGCTCCCTGCTCCCCGGGAAGCCTGCTTCTCCCTCTACCACTCCCCCTGCTTGTGTTCCCTCTCTTGCTGTGTCTCTCTCTGTCAAATAAATAAATAAAATCTTTTTAAAAAAAAGAGAGTCAGACGTTCAACCAACTGAGCCACCCAGGCACCCTTGAGATTCTGCATTTCTTTTTTTTTTAAAGATTTTATTTATTTATTTGAGAGACAGAGAGTGTGAGCAAGAGAGAGCATGAGCCAGGGGGAGGGGCAGAGGGAGAGGGACAAGCAGTCTCCTGGCTGAGCAGAGAACCCAACGTGGTGCTCAATCCCAAGACCCCAGGATCATGACCTGAGCCGAAGGCAGATGGCTAACTGACTGAGCCACCCAGTTGCCCCAAGATTCTGCATTTCTAACAAGACTGGTGCTGCTGATCCATGGACCACACTCTGAGCAATGGGAGGCCAAGGCACACCCATCTTCCTGGAAGCACAGTGAGGGGTAGTGATGAGAATCCTGGACTTAACACCCCAAAATCTCCTTCACTGGTTGTGAGATTTGGGAGGAAATTCTTGCACCCTCTGAGGGCCTTACCACCAGATGTGTAAACTGATTACTAGATAATTTCCAAGCTGCCTTTCTATTCATTTGCCTTTTAAAAATGTAAATCATGAACGATAAAGTTGTGTGGATTTCCCAGGAAGCACATGTTCAGATTTTAAAAATTAACCGAGACACACGTTTGATTAAACTATCATGAATGCCACAAGAGACACGTCTATGGACCATACGTGGCCAGTGGCCAAAAGTAGCTCCTAGACCACCGGTGTGCAATCTCAGCCATGAACATTGTATCAGTTATTAAAACTATGTCGCTCAGCCCGGAAACCACCCT